GGTGCCAGGATGGCAGCGGGGTCCGGGCTGGGACGGCAGGCACGGCCCCGCTGGGCACTCACCTTGTAGCTGAGGTAGATGAGCAGCATGGTCTCCAGGAAGCTTATTATGGCCACGATGACCTGGATTGGGAGAAAGGCATCTGGAGCAGGTGCGGGGATGAGTGGCCAAGGCCTGTGGCTGACCCCAGAAGGTGACCAAGAGCCGGTGGCATCTTGACCTCCTGTCTCTGAGGGCCCTGCTCCACGTTCCAGGGTGGGACAGAGGGTAAGGGGGCAGGTCCAGTCCTGGACACTCCTCATGGTGCCGGCACGCACTGGCCCCGCTGGGAAGCTGCAGGGTAGGAGCAAGAGACGTGGGGTCCTGTCGCAGACTAGGTCGCCTTCCAGAGAGTAGGTGGTGGAGCCAGGGGAGACCCACCCAGGAGACAGCCCCCCGGAAAACAGCCAGGACATACGTAGGTCAGCAGAGGGACAGATTCAGAATGAGAAACAGATGGGGGACAGTGAGCTCTCAGGTCCCTGGGAACATCAGGGGAAGAGGGACTGAACCTGAATCCCCTGCTTACTGACCCAGGACTCACTGAACCTGGGTCCCTGCTCACTCAGTCTGGGTGGTCCTCAGTGCTCACTGAGCCTGAGTCAGTCCTCAGTGCACACTGAGACTGGTTTCCCACTTCACTGAACCTGAGTCTCCTGTTTGCTGAGCCTGGGTTGGTCCTCAGTGCACACTGAGCCAGGATTTCCAGTTCACTGAGACTTAGTCCTCTGTTCACTGAGACTGGGTGGGTCAGTCTTGAGTGCTCACTGAGCCTGGGTTCTTGCTTACTGAGCCTGGGTCGGTCCTCCATGCTCGCTGAGCCTGGATTCCCGGCTTACTGAGCCTGGGTCAGTTACAGTACTTACCGAGCCTGGGTGCCCCGTTCACTGAGCCTGAGTACCCTGATGAATGAGGCTGGGTTTGCTCTCGGAGCTTACAGAGTCGGGGAGCCCTGCTCACAGAGCTTGGGTCAGCCTTGAGTGCTCACTGAGCCTGGGTGGGTCCTCAGTGGTCACTGAGCCCCATCACAGCGGGGAGGGGGTGGGATGGGGCACTCACCTGGATTGCCCACAGAGGCATCTTCCTCTCCACCCACAGGATGGGAGCCCTGGGGAGAGGAGGAGGACCACACAGTAGGGCTCCATACCACCAGTGTCCCAGCCACCCCTGGGACCCCACTGGGCCTCCACTGGCCCCAAGGGCATACCCCTCATGGGGCTGGACCAAGGGAGCTTCCTTGCCCTGGGAGGGGACTAGGGCATGGAGGGAAGGGAAGGGAAGGTTCCCAGAAAAGGAGAAGGGAGCAGGACTACAGCTGGCAGCCCTGGAGGTGCTGAGACTCCAGACCCATGGCTGAGGCCTGTAGAGCCGCGACTTGGAGAGCACACTGCTGCTGCTGCTCTCTGGACAAGCAGCCTGAGCCCCATGGGACCTGGGTGCCCCTGCTCTCACCTGGCCTCCTGGAGATGGGCCCCTAGACTGTCCCTGAAGGGGAGGGAGTTCCTACCATCTAACCAATGGATCTCAGAGTTTACCTGGGTCTGAACTCCTCAGGCATAACCAGCAGGGATGGGGTGTGGGAGAAGGCCGGGAGGGGGGTCTTCTTGGCATAGATGGGGGCTCAGGTGCCGGGGACTAGGCTCACAAGGCCTGGGGACTTGTTTTCCACTCTGAACCAGGCACCCGGCTCCTCTGTGTTCCTTCCCACCGCTGGCCCTGGCACCTGCTCCTCCCTGCACCTCCCCTCCCCAACGGTCGGCCAGGGCGAGGCGGCCAGGCCCAGGCAGAGTATCTTGGAAACTGTAGAAACCCCATAGCTGCTTGTGGGGACCAAGGGGGACCATGTCCTTTAGCTCATCTTAACGCTCAGACTGCTCCCTTCTGGGGGGGACATCCCCAGCACCAGCCATGGCCAGGGTCTGGGGTCCTGTTGAACATCCCTCGGAGAACCTAGGTGGCTGCTGGGCTGGGGCTGGGCCTGGCTCTTCGGGGCCCAGGCAGTGTGAACCTCTGTCCATCCCACCCCACCCTGGCCCTGGGCCTCTGGGCCTTGGCATGTGGATGCCGGGCGTGGACTCACCAGTTGATCTCCGAGGATGAGTCATTGAAGGTGTAGTTCTGCTTGGGACAGCCCCAGCTGTGGAGAGACATGGAGCTGGCTTGCTGCAGCCCCTCTGGTACTGCCAAGGACCCTCCCCAAGGTCAGGGAGTATGGGAGGTACCTACTACCCACCACCTTCCCAAGGCCACCCCAACATCTTGGAGGAAGTCTGAGTTTTAACATCTGGCAGCCTGCCTGTTCCCAGCAGAGACCTTACCCCAAGGGTCTCTAATGGGGGCGCTATATGGGGTGGTCCCTGCTCAGCCCCGGAGAAGGGATGATGAGAGACTCCACATCTGCAGCCCGACAGCAAGAGAGGCTGCTTGGGAGAGCTGTGAATCTGCCGGTGCTGACAACAGTCTTCCAGGGAAGGGCCCTGCCTGGTCAGAGATAGGATGTGGGAATACCCAGGGCCTCCTGGAGGCCAGAGTGGCCTCAAACAAGGTTGGACAATGCCCCTGAGATAGAGAGAAAGCTCCTGTGCTGAGGTGCTGATTCAAAGAAGCATATCCTTAAGCCATCTCTGAGGACAAGCGTCCCCAAACCACCTGCAACCAGCTGGTGGGACAGTCACCAGGGTACAGCCAAGGTGCTAGTTCTGCCCCAGATGATCACCAATACTATGGTCACTGACCAAGGGGACCTCACCACTCACAGAGCCCCATGGTGGTGGCCAGCTCCTCCCCTCTTTCCTCTCAACTGACACACATTCCCCCTGAGTCTTACGGGGTTGTTACAACTCAACTCCCACAGAAGTGGCTGGTCATCTATACATCATCCACCCATCCATCCATACAACCGCCTGTCTGTCCGTTTGCTCATCCATCACCCATCCATCACCTACCCACCCCTGCTCTTATCCAGCACCCACCCACCCATCAACTCGAGCACCACCCATCCATCCATTTATCCATCCACCCATCTTCTTATAATGTCCATCCATCATCGCATCGACCACCCATCTACCTATCCGCCATTCACACACCCACTGACCTATCCTTCCATCCATTCACCCTTCCATCCTTCCATCCCTCCCTCCACCCACCCACTCACCAATTCATCACCCATCCATTGATCCATCTACCACCAACCATTCAGTCATCCACACTTCATTTCTCCATCATCTACCTACCTATCCATCCACCCATCCCTCCGTAATCCATCTATCTGTCATTCACCCACCCGTCCATCTCTCCAGCCTCCCACTGCCCTACCCATCCACGTGCCAGGCTCATGCTATGGGATAGTTTGTGTAGAACCAGAGTCTAAGGAGCCTCTGGGACTTGGAGAGGGTGGGGTAAATCCAGGAAAGTGGTTTGAGAGTTAGGACTCCCAGTTCTCCTCAAACCATCATGTGGGTTCTTCCCTCTTCTACCCTGGACAAAGATAGGAGGTTTGTTCTTAGGAGGGTGAGAGTCCCTGGCCTGGGGATGCCTGGCCTCCCCGAGAGTGAGGTAACAGATGAAAAGGGGTATTGAGGGAACTTCTATACTAAAGCCCCCAGCCCCAGCAGCCAGGCCTTCCGTTCCAGGGAGGAGTTGGCTCTGAGGGGCCAGAGCAGATACCCATAGGCCAAAGGGGTCCCCCAGACAGCCTGCCTGCAGTGACCACACCACATGTCTGACCCAGAGTGTCAGTGCCAGAGTACTCTCCAGTGTAAACAGCACCAGCATTGCCAGACATCTGGGAAAATCTGCCAGCGTGGGCCAGAGAGAACTCAAGAGAAACAGAGACTGGGAAGATGATGAAAATGCAAAACTGGCTGGGTGCGGTGGCTCACGCATATAATCCTGACACTTTGGGAGACCTGGTGAGAGGATTGCTTGGGCCTAGGAGTTCTAGACCAGACTGGGCAACATGGTGAGACCTCTTCTCTATAAAAATCAAAAAATTGCCGGACTCAGTGGCTCAGCCTGTAATCCCGCGCCTTTGGGAGGCTGAGGTGAGTGGATTGCCTGAGCCCGCAGGTTCGAGACCCGCCTGGGCAGGTGAGACCTCATCTCTACGATAAATCAAAAATTAGCTGGGCGTGGTAGCGTGTGCTGTAGTTCCAGCTACTTGGAAGGCTGAGGCAGAAGGATCGCAGGAACCCAGCAGGTCGAGGCTGCGGTGGCCGGGAGCAGCCACTGCACTCCAGTCTGGGTGACAGAGTGAGACTCCAACTCAAAAAAAAAAAAATTAAAAAATTAACTGGGTGAGGTGACACATGCCTGTAGTCCCAGCAACTCGGGAGGCTGAGGCAGAAGGATCATCTGAGCCCAGGAGGTCGAGACTGCAGCGAGCCATGATCGTGCCACTGTGCTCCAGCCTGGGTGACAGAGTGAGACCCCGACTCAAAACAAAACAAAACAGAAAAGGTCAAGGGACACTGTTCTCAGAGCCATACTTGGCGGAAGAATTCCCAGAAACTAGAAAACAGGCCTGAAAGCATGAAAGAGGTGGCATGGGAGAGAGAAGACATGGAAGGTAGTGTCTAGCAGCTGAGTAACAGGAGCCAGAGCGAGAGCCGGGGATGGGGGGGCAGTCCCCAAGGACGTGGTCCCGGAACATCTAGTACCGAAGGCTGCTGGTCCCAGCTGATATCTGCTGAAACCAGCACAGGGGTGAGAAGGAGCCCACCAAGGGACAAAGAGAAACTCCCAGCAGCTGCCGGGAGAGACAAGGCGCTTCCCACCAGGGTCGAGAATGAGAGACACAGTCAGGGCAGGAGGGGATGGGGCAAGACCAGAGGGAAATGTCCCCAAGTCTCAGACCCGAAGGTGCAGAGGCTGTGCTGGCACTTCTTCCTGGAAAACTGTGCTCCACGGACCCAGAAAGAGGAGCCTGGAGCCCAAGAGGCAGGCAGACCCTCAGGAATAGGCACAGGCATCCCTAGAGGTTGTCCCCCTTCCCTGACCCACAGACACCAATGTGGGCACAGACACCTGCCACCAAGTCCCTCCAGGACCCCACGCTGAGTGGTGGACGTCCCAGACACACCAGCCTTTGAGGTCTACCGGCCCCGAAGGTGTGGCTAAAGGTCTATGACCGGAACTTTGTCCCCACACCGAGCTGTCAGTAAAAGCCCAAGGGCCCATCAGGGACACACTTGGGAAGGAAGCACTCCCTGAGGCCCTGGGCACAGAGGCTCCCTGGGATCCAGCAGGATACTGGTTGTAGATGTCCCCAGGGACCCCCTCAGCCTCTGTAATGACAGAGGGGCCCAAGCAGAAAGGCTCAGCCCTGGGGCCCAGCCCCCTCCCCTGCCCCTGTCACTCACCAACCGATCCCCAGGGCTGGGTCATCGAGCAGGACACGGACAATGTATAGCAGGCAGGTTAGGAGCTTCAGAGAGAAGTTGAACAGTCGAATCCGCAGGCCTGCAGGGAGGGGTGCTCAGGGGTCCGGGTCCAGCTGGGAACTTTGGGGAGCAGGACCCGCCCCGGGGTTCTGGCCAGGATCCCTCTCAATGGCTTCTCCCTGGAAGGCCCCAGCTGGGCCTCCCTGGGGTCTGACCAGAATCTCTTTTGAGGCTGCTCCCCTCCCATCGGGCCTCAAAGGGGCAGACGTGCACTCTGTCTCCCAGGGGCGCAGATGTCACTGGATCAATCTCCAAGAGGCGCCATCCTGTCCCCCACCCCCACCTGCAGATGTGCGTTGGAGGCTCGGGGTGTCCAGGAAAGAGAATTCCTAAGGCCCCTCTGCTTCTTGGGGACAGAATAGGGGAGGGGAGTAGGCTGGAGGGCTCGAGCCCAGGATAACCCCCAACGCATCCTGCATCCCTGGAGGAGCCAAGGGGGCCAGGTTGGAGCTGGGAAGATGCAGAAGAGCTGTAGGGGTGGGGAGGGCCGGGGGTCTGCTGGGGAGACTCTGCTGGTGCCTGAGGGTGACCCAGCATGCCTGGTATCCAGCCGGGGGGGCAGCGTCCTTGTGTTCCTCGGAGACACCCTGGCCTCAGCTGGTGGGAAGCCAGAATGGGAGCACCCCCTGCGTCCTCGTTCACCAATGCAGCCCCCAACTCTGCCCAGCCCCCCACCCTGTCCCCCTGTCATCCTGGTGCCCGCGCCCCTCCCCCCGAGAGCATCCCCAGGCCCCACTCACTTGATCTTTGGTTTTTGATGAAGAACAGCTTGAGCCGCTCCTTGAAAGTGTTCTCGTTGACGTAGAATTCCACCTGGACCCTGGAGCGGGAAAAGGTGGGCTCAGGGCAGGGGATTGTGGCCAGCTGGGAGTTCTGATGGCAGAACTGGAGGGCACAGCCGAGAGGGCTGTCGTCCCCACCTCAGATCCCAGAGGGCTCATGTCCCCTGAGGTCACATGTCCAGCGGAGAGCGGCCTCACCTCGGTCCCCCAAAGCTTCCTCCTGGCACACCCAGGCGTCTGCTCTGCTGCCTGGCAATGTGAAGGCCCTCAGGCCCTCAGGGGCTCAGGGCTGCAGCCCCCATGCCATGCTTGCCTGATAGTGGCAGGGCAGCCCCTGGGATGGAACGGTGCCCGTGTGGCCTTGGACCAGAGCTCAGGACACAACAAGTGCTTGAAACACACCGGATGAACAGCTGACAGCAGTCGCTGGATCTGGAAACTGCTAATGGCCATGCCCCGAGGCCGCTGCTCACTGTGCTTGGAGGACTGCTGGGCAGGCAGGTTGGCAGGATGTGGTTATCCTTGGGCAGGCCAGGAGGAGTTCCCTTCCCTCCCTAGCTTGCCTATGCCCCCGACCACCAGTCCCCAGATGCCCCAAGCCTCCACAAATGCCATGGCTCAAGGGCCCTCCTCGGAGCTCTCCAGCCCCTGCTCTGTTTCTTGCAGTCCTGAGATCACAGTGGACCCAGTGGCCATTGCTGAGGGTGCTGGGTGGCGAGGGGAGACCATGTGGCCCACCCACCCTAGATGCCATCTGCACGACCCAGGAAGGGCTGTATGGCCACCAGGAGTAACGAGGGGTCTGGGGGTCAATGGGTCACTGCCCCTAGGCCCCAGACTCAGATATGGGCCTCCTGTGCCTGGCTGGGCTGGAAGGCTGCCAGGCCAGGGTTTCAGGCTCCACTGAGGCAGAAACACCAAGGCTGACAGCACGCAGGACAGACAAGAGCGGGGCCTGGGCAGGGTTACTACAGTGGGCACGCCTGGCCTGTGCACCAGGGTGCTGGGCAGGCCTCTCATGACCCTGGGCGGTCCTCAGGCATGGCCTCTCTGCTCTCCATCGCGTCTGCTCTCACCAGGTAGCTGCATAGCCACACCTCCTGGACTTCACCCACCTGGGTCAGATGGGGACAGCCTGTTTCCCTTGGGGAGGCTGTGGGGCAGAGCAAGACCCCAGTGAGGTCCTCATCATGGTGCCCTGACTGCAGCCCAAGGTGAAGGTCCTGACACAGGAAGGCAGATGGACAGAGCACCCCAAAGGCAGAATCGTGCTACCTGGTAGGATCCTGGAGGACTGCACGGAGAAGGTGGCATTCACACATATGGCAGCTATCCACAGCTGAAGGGGATGCAAGTGCTGGCCTGATCCTTATTCCCACCCCATCCACCTTCCTGTCATTCTCTACCAGAGCAGGGGCTCTGAAAATGGAGTATGGGCTGTGACAGCCTGTCCCTTCTGAGCTCCAGCTCCCATCAATTGAACTTGAGAGTTTGAAGTCACTGCTCAGTCTGGGGCTGGTGGCTCAATATCTTTGAAAGTGATTAAAGCCGGGCTCGGTGGCTCAGCCTGTAATCCTGCACCTTTGGGAGGCTGAGGTGAGT